TAATTTTATGAGTGCTAACAGCATTGCGTGTATTGATAATCTCGGTGAAACCTTTCCAATAGCTGTGGAACCTTCTTGTCCATTGCTCTAATACGTCATTGCTGGGATTCCCGCTGTTCGGTTATGGAATGTTAAATACACTGTAAGGTGGCAGGCCGGGCGGCGAGAAGTATGAATGGCCCATTCCGGCAATTACCGGTCGGAACGCCGGGGCTGCGAGGGTATCAGGGAAAGTGCTACAAATGGCCTCCACTCTCTCCCAGGGGTGGAATGCTAGTAGGTCACTCGGGTCTCATAATGGCATCGGAGGTATGCGGGACCGCGGCTGACCGCAAAAGTAAGCGTCTTGGGTTCACCGAATGCCGATCCTGGTATGTGGCTCTGTTTCTTCAACCCTCGCCCGTATTGGTGTTCTGGCAGTACTAACGTGCAGCCTCCATTGCAAGAGTTAGCCCTCGCACGGATAAGGGACCGATATAAGCGAGGGTTATTCGTGCGGTTTAAAGGGTGTCTTCAATTAGAACGATTGCCTGTAGCAAATGAACAATAACAGTAAATGCAAACAAAGATATAGTTCAAGATCCCGTTTGCAAATTCGAAAATAAAGAAGTGGTAAGTATGTGGTAGTTCAATAGTAAGCGTTTACCTTATGAGTGATGATCTTTGAGACGCCCGCCAGCATCGGTGGTGTTTTGTCGTTGAGCTCGATGTGTCCCATCTTGACTATCCAGAATACAGGAGGGATGGTGAATCCAAAGAGTGGGCTGCAGGAAAGTCAGTAGCGATTGTCATATAGGTATTAGCAATTAGCGAATTACGAAAACGTAGAAATTTGCGCTTAAATTAGAGATGAGATGAACATCAGATGAGATGTAATCGCTACGGCCCAGGCCCCATGCAACACTGCATACTTAAACGTGCCATCGAATGCAAACAATTAATGTAACGAGACACTAAATGAATATTTCGCATACGGATCTTGCTTGCGACACCAAAACATACATATCCCCGAATTATTTCAAGACTTCTTGACCAACAAAGCTCGCATAGCAAAAAAAAGCAGTTTATGACTATGTTTGATTTCCTTACGACGGTATTCGATTCATTCGGAAGTCGGAAGGGTACGGCCCTCCAGCAAAAGAGTGGTTGGTTAATCGTTAGCCTATGTGCTTTTGTTGTAATAACTTTAAATGACAGAGACACTCCTGTAAAATGGTTCAATAGAAATGAGAAGAGGGTTCGTGCACACATTTCGGCAGTGGTTTCCAACAGCCATTAGACGTATTCACTATTCATCAATGCAGATCGATTATATGATGTTGGCAACCAACTACTTACCTAATACCCGGAGGGTATTAGGTAAGCCGTACCTAACAGCCAAGGACGATAACATCACAGACATAGAGACACTAGATGACATGAATGGCTAGGTAATTTTAACACGAGTTCGTGAATTCAAATCTCCACGCCACCTTTATCGAGTCAGAGCGGTCATTGGCATATTTCGACATCATCATCGTGACCATCGTGAACATCATGTGACAGCACCCGTGCTTGCCACAAAGCTGTGGCTGAGGGAACGGGAACCGAACCGGAACCAAACGTGTCCGGAGCGGAACGCCAACACAGGGTTATTGAACCAGATCGAAGTCGACGGCTGTGACTTTCACTGGCAACACAGCGAGACAGCGTCGTGGTGTTTTGGCGTAAAGCAGGCTGTCCTCACATCCTCTGGGTATTTGTGAAGCATGCTTGATCCCTCTGTGATTCCAGATATATGTCTCGGCATAGGTACAGCATGCAGTCGATTTGATATGCAACCTGCTGGTTCTCGGGTATTTTAGAGCCCCAATTTCGTACTCGAAGCTAAAACGAGATGATATTTCGCAAACATTCAATACGCTCATTTAAACGAATATTTAGCGTGTGGAAGGCGCTTGTGACAGCACCATGAATTAAAAATTCAACTAACAGAGAAGTATGGAATGCATTCGGGATGCATCGGTTCTGATCTTGATATAAATCAAAACACTTATGCCCCATAATCTGTTGCGGTAGTGATGCACTTGAGCCTCGGTTTAGCATCCATTGTTTGGACTTACATGAACGGACAGCAGTACCGCTATTTAGGGTGCAATTAGAGACTCAGCGTGGGCACGGGAGCCCAGCAATGGCGCGCTTCAGTGCGCCGCACGCACACGGCGCACGCGACGATTGAACGCAAATGGGGCCACATCAGTTGGGCTCGAGCATGCATTGGAGGTTTACCTCTACGAAAGGAGCCAGAAAGCTGGTTTTACTTGCACTAATGAAAAATTGAAAAATCCAGCCACGTCACCGGCTGAGAAAAAAGTTAAAAAGCAGAAAGAAAAGCTGTGCTTTTAAATTCAATGTGGATGAGTGAGACATTGAGATAAGCGAGTACTTCAAAAAGTACACCTTATAAGCAAAAAATGGCAACTAAGCAATCCTGTGCCGTCATACTTTTGATCCGCGCTTGACTGAGAGTTCAGCCGAACTGAGAGTTCAGCGAGCGTTCTAACTGCCAGGGCTGAGGGAGAGGGGAGGGCGATTGAATATTGACAGATAATCCCAAAAGACTAAAGAATTGTCGCGAGCTGATGTGCAAGGCAGAATTGATTTTTTTCCAACACGCATCTGAAACATCACTGATTCTGAATTTCGAGGTCAAGTGACCTGTTTAGATCGGGTCAAAGGCGAATTTGAGCGCATTTATATCCAGGGCTCTGGCGAACGTATGGTGAACCGAAAAGGTGCTGGTATTGGGATGCAAAGCTCAACCTCATATGTGATAGGTATGTGATGCATGTTTTCCAGCCAGTTCTGGTCCTAAAACTCTTTTGAAAGTCTCGTCTGCGTTGTTTGCCATCAACTAGCAGGTTAAGGTGAAGGTCAGGTCAGCTCATGTCCACAAAAATACGAGTACCTAGTACCTACATATGTAGTTATCTAGGATTATATTCAGGCAGAGCATTCTTACAGCTGCATTTGTCCATGCGGCAGGTAACACCGTCCAGCAATCCCTGCTCCGATAGCAGCGCACCTTGTGTGGGCGGCAGACGGCGCGTTGCAGTCTCCACGGAGACTGCAGTGGAACACACGCCAATAACACAACACACTGGCGCAGCGGCGGCGGCCAGCGAGGACGAATTGTCTTATCACGCACTGGCGCGGTATTTGGACGTGGCGGGGCGCATATTTTGAGAAAAAAAAAATCCTCCGAATCCCAAATTCCAGAAAAGAAAACTCCTCAGATTCCGATTCCTTAGCCCCGATGTACATACAGATTAAAGCAAACTTTTTCTACTAAAAGCTGTTTAGTGTTCAGTTTTCTTTATTCCCGAAAAACTGAAGAGTTTACTAAATTTTGGGCACGGAGAGGGCAGTTGCCCCAAATGGCTGTCCCCTGGATCCGCCAGTGTTCTGTGCCAAGGTCACAGGCGCCGCATGCGTCGTCGTAGAAATTCGTCATGGAAGCCAAATTTTGTCAGTGCCTTCTTCAAATTTCCCAGACTTTTCATGAACCCCAGGCTTTCTAATGGCGTTTAACGGTTACTAAAATTGTTTCCAGCTCCGTAAGTAAAACTCGCAGTCGCAACAGAAGGTTGTTTCGGATCCTATCCAGCTCTAACTTTTAAGTCTTTAGGATATCAAACCGAGTGCATTCGCAAGATAACCCGTCATAAACCCGTCGTAATCGCGTTTCCATGCTTTGCATTGTTTTCAATGGTAATTCCGAATTTGTATTTAAAGCCTATTCAATGTTCCTGCATGTAACAATTCTCGATGTCAATGGAATTGTGACCCTCCTAGGGGGTCGCGGGGAGGAGGGGGGGGGGACTCACTCGACAATGCAGTGGGCGGCGGTGAGCACCCAGCCGGGGTCGATCAGGGTACCGCCGCAGTGCTGGCTCAGCAGCTGTCCCGTATGAGGGTTACGCTGGTGCAGCGACACCTGCCAGGGCCACTCGCCACGCCAGCTGCGTGATCCGCCCACGATCCGTTGTGACCTCAGGTCACCGCGCCGCCGGCCGCATTCTGGCGACAGAGGGGACAAGGAGCGATATCGTTACATTCGGATAAATGGGAGAGTGTGTCATATCCGAGCAGACTGAGGAGATGTAAACATTTTAACGGACAGGAATAAGAGGGTGGGCAGAATGAAAGGACGATTAGATTAGTAACATAACAAAATTATATTGATTCCAATGCATAAATGAGCTTGGCCACTACCAGCAAGCATCTTAAGACCGGTTTCGACAACCCGGTGACCCTAGCTGTCGTTCCGTCCTCCAGACGGTCCTGCAGTGCTCGCTCACCTTTGGCGCTGACGGCAGCTGGACTGCGACATACCTAGTAGCAAAAGACACACAACGAGCCATGTCAAACCGACACTCCATCTGACCATCGTCGCCCATTCCTGACCAAGGCTGCGCTCAGCTGGTCGGCCCACCGCACACCGACATCGCTCCTCACCGCCGCGTGAACCGCGCACCGCGCACACCACGCGCGAGCGGCCAGAGACGCGACTGGCGGCGCGAGCGAGCGACTGGAGCGGCGCGGAGGAGCCGCCGCGACGGCGACCGCAGCGCCTGCCAGCGGCGGCACTGAAAACTGGACAGGTGTGAAAAGTGAAATCCCATTCGATTTGTCCGGAGCCTTGAAGAAGCATTCGATATTGATGTGTTCGTCCGTTATCTGTCCTCACGATCAACCCTTTCGCATCCGCTATCCGTTATAGCATCGCATTTTTTACCTGGTAGTGGTCACACTGATGCAATTGACGATTCTCGGACCTCCGACAACCGGCTGCTTGGCTTGAGCCCTGAAATGCAGCCTTTGATTGCCTCCTTTTTCTGGACACCCATGCAAAAAATACACACAAATGCTTTGGGATCATCACTTGTGCAATTAGCCTCTTGCACATCTGTCATTACCTTCAGGCCGAGATCCTCCCCACCATCGTGACCCGGTGGCTGGGCTAGTTCTGCAACGGCGTGACAGTAGCGGTGGAACACCTTCAATTAACCTTCCAGGCGGTGGGGGGGAGGCATTTTTTGCCCCCCTTTAGTGTTTTCGATATATCTCGAGAACCGCTGCGCCGATCGTCACCAAACTCTCAGTACCCTCCCGTGAATAGCTATTGCAAATAGTGACCAAAATTTTTCCAAAGGCTATGATAGGTTGGCCGCTAATGACGTCAGAGTGACGTCATTTCTGCCATTTTCGACCCAAAAAAAGGTTTCGCGAGAAGAGCTGTCAGGCCTACAGCTTTAGAGATACAGAAAAATGTTTAAGACATAAGAGGTGTAGAATTTAGAGGGCTACAAAACTACTATCTCGGATTTGTAAAGTTTTCGGATTTTGACCCCCAAAAATAAAAAAATTGATTTTTTGAATATAACAACCGAAAAATCCAAAAAATTGAATTAAAAAAACCGGAAGATATGTGATAGTCCCTACCGCCTTCTATCTACATACCAAATTTGAGATCGATACCTCTTTTTTGGCCAAGTTATAGCGAAAAAACTGTTGAACATTGATGACGTCAAATTTTCAAACTCAATTTTTAGCAATTCTAGACCTTGTAGCGCAAAACAAAGACCACCATTAGACTCCCCGTGACGAGCTGCATCGAATCAATTTACCCATTTTATGCAAAAATATCAACTTTGAAATTTGACCTTTTTTACCTGATCTTGACCTGACCTCCACCAGAAAGTGACCTAAACCGTACCTGATGGTCTTATAACCATTACAATTGAGTTGGAAATGAAAAACTGGCCATAAAACATGCATCGCACAACCTTAGTAAGGTTGGGTTCATGTGGTGACCCTTGTGACCTTTGGTGACCTGACCTGTGACCTGACCTGGTATGACCAGTGACCTCTAATAGCAACATATGTATGTACTAGGCAACTGACGCCCTATCGCTGATTTTCGACAAAATGCGTTTTACTCGGTGTTATAGCGCTTTCCCTAGAAGCCCCGTGAACGGTGAAACATTTTATCTTTGACCTGACCTATGACGTCATCGGTGACCCCGAAGTCAATGAAATTTGGTTTCCTTCGACAAATTTGACAGGGCTATCTAACGCCGTTTGAATTTTCCGGATCCGTCCAATAGTTTCGGAGATACGGGGGGGGGGGCAAAAAAATGCCCCCCCCCCCCCCCACCGCGCGGAAGGTGGCCGGGAGGCCCACCGCCTGCCGAGTTAACTAACCCGCGTCCCATAGGAGGGGGGTGAAACGCCCCCCCCCCCGTTCTTTTCCGTCGATATCTCCTAAACGGCTGCAGATTTCGCCACCAAACTTTCAGGACCCCTCCGGCATCAATTTTACATATTGTGACCAAAAATTTTTTCCAGAGGCTATGATAAGTTGGCCACAAATGACGTCAGAATGACGTCATGTTCTGCCATTTTCGACCGAAAAAAGAGCTTCGCGAGAAGAGCTTCCCGCTTTGGCCAACAGCTTTGAAGATACAAAATAATGAACAGACATAAAAGGTGTAGAATTGACAAGGCTACAAAACTGCTATCTCGGATTTTTGAAACTTTTGAATTTTGACCCCCAAAATCAAAAACGTATTTTTTTTGGATATATTAGTCAAAAAATCCAAAAAGTTTTTTGAGTTTCGAAAAAACCGGAATATATGTGAAAGTACCTACCGCCTTCTAGCTACATATCAAATTTCAGATCGATATCTCGTTTTTTGGCCAAGTTATAGCGAAAAAAACTGTTCAAAAATGATGACGTCAAATTTTTAAGCTTATTTTTTTGGCAATTCTAGACCACGTAGGGCAAAACGAAGACCATCGTTGGACTCCCCGTGACGAGCTGCATCGATTCGATACCCACTTTATGCAAAAATATCAACTTTGACCTAATATGACCTGACCTTGACCTGACCTTCACCAAAACGTGACCTAAGCTGGCCCCAAAGGCTGCCTAACAAACATAATCGCATTTGTCATGTAAAATGGACCATAAAACATGTATCACACGACACTTTCATATTGTGACCCCCTGCAGTCACGCAGTGACCTGACCTCTGTGACCTGACCTGGTATCAGTGACCTCAGATAGCGAAGTATGTGTTTGACGAACAATGTACCATCGATGGTTTTCAATAACTTACCAATTTACTCGATTTTACAACACATTTCTTGAAATGCCTGTGAACGGTCAAAATGCGACCTTTGACCTGAACTGTGACGTCATCAGTTTGATCTAAGTCAATGAAATTTGGTCACAAGGTAGTTCCCGAGTGGGGCTATCGAACGCCGTTTGAATTTTGAAAATCGGCCGGTAAATGTCCGAGATCTTAGGGGGAGCCGAAACGCCACCTCCACCCCCCCCCCCCCCACACACACACACGGGTGGTAGGGTCCGCCGATAGCCCTACGGGGCGCGGGTTAAGGGGGGGGGGGCACTGCCGACTTTTGGTCCCATTCTTTCCATGCAACGCCCATAGGGCTTATATTAAAATGCCAAAATTAAAGGGGGCCTCGGTGCCCCGGTGCCCTCCCCGTTCCGCCGCCTATTTTGCGTGACACGTCTGTTACTGCCTAGTGCCTTAGGCTATCATCCAAGTGTATGGCAGCAGCGGCCGGAATAATCTTGGACAAATTTTGATTATCACTTGTTACGCATTATTGAGCTAAGTATTTATGTTTGATATAATTAGTAATTTGTAACATGTGTAGTGTGTACCTATTGTGTTTGCGCGGAACATACCCTCTCCGCGCCCGGCCGGCGGCCCTCCCGCGAACTCGAAAGTGGACCTACCTGTCTAGGCACCCTTACCGACAGTTCATTTTTTTTTTTGAATAAATGAATGCAAAACTGGAGTAGGTTTATGGCATGCCCGTTCTAGTAACGTCAACTTGCACGAACTCTTCTTCAGATATGTTTAATTTTTTAACACGCGCACCGACGGGGGGCCGATATCCGCCCCCCTGAGGTTTTTCGCGAATAGTGGGAAAGCCGCGGCGCGTAGCGCCGCGAAATTTGGTACGACTATTCTCTAATCAATTTTACACATGGTGTGCAAGTTTGAACCTCCTAACTTTTAAGGTCAGGTCACCAGGTCACTTTGAATGACCCAACCTCAAGTCACTTTTTTGCAACTTTGTCACCGTGCCAGAACTACAGTAGATGTCGGAGGCCTTTGAAAGTCGCAGGATGTTATTAGGTCTGTAGTAGCTACATTTTGTATATCTCTGAATTTTGATTCCGGTGACCTAAGGTCAGGTCAATTTCTCGACCTCCCCATTATAAGTCAATGGGGGAAAAATCAACTCCCTGTTTTTACCACTAAAACGGGTTGGAATGGCCCATAAACCATACATGACTTCATATACGATCAACCTTCACTACCTTGAGGTCTGTTTTGCTGTTGGGCAGCTGTAAGGTCATGTGACAACAGTGACATCATCAAAGGTCACCAAAGGTTTTTTTTTTGCCAATAACTCCGTACAGGAACAAGATATAGCCGCGCGGATGGTCTCATTGTGTTCAGATCGTCAAGACGCATCGAATGATATGCCTATACATGATGACCTCGAAGTCATGTGACCTGAGGTCAACATATATATATATATATATATATATATATATATATATATATATATATATATATATATATATATATATATATATATATATATATATATATATATATATATATATATATATATATATATATATATATATGTTACAGGCAAAGTGAAAACCCGGGCATTTTGCAAAATGCCTAGGCAGTTTGCAAAATGCCTGACCCGCCAGTCATTTTGCAAAATGCCTAGGCAGTTTGCAAACTGCCTGACCCACCAGGCATTTTGCAAACTGCCTAGGCATTTTACAAAATGCCTGACCCGCCAGGCATTTTGCATAATGCCTAAGTTTCCATATATTCCACCGTTTTTGTTGACTTCGGGCGATGACCATAAACGTTCCACTGAGCCTGAGCCTGAGCCCAAATACAAGGGTGTCACGAATAGGGTAAGGTGCCTAATTAGCGACCCTTTCCTATTTGCGACCTACCTCTCTACAGAAAACCTGGCTAGAAATCGGGGTGAAAACAATGCCAAAAGGTCTGCCATACTTTGGTTATCAAAGTAAATTCTTTTCCGGTTGTCGATGCTTCTGGTGGGACGTTCTAGGAGAGTTTAGATAAAAATGACCAGTTTCTTATCCAAAACGTATGTATTTGGACCCAATCTGCTGAAAAACGATGCACAATAAGATGATGCGCCTTTTTTATTCTGAATCGACAATCCTTTTTCAATTGATTGCCGTTTTCCCGTAGTGAATCGCTTAACTGTGCACCGCATAGTGGTTCAAAAATGTATCGCAACCCACATTTCCTATTTGCGCCCGACATGGTCGCAAATAGCTTGACAAGGGAAAGAAGGGGGAAAAGAGAAATGAAAATGAGGTGTTGCTGAAGCTTGCGATGTGTGGCAGTTGATGCCAACTGTCGTCACCGACTGCAGGGGTGCCGAATCCAGGGCGGGTCCCGAATATCATACGAGATAGCCCGCAAAATTTGGTTTTTTTGCCTTCTGTTCGCCCTTGGTGCATCACGTGATCAGTTTTCATCTTCATT